ACGGGGGGGACTCGCCTGCGGTGCCGCGTGTCCATCCAGTCCTTCCTTGCACCGGGCGGCCCTTGAGACACGGGGCTTGGTGGGTGCGTCCTCCGAGCCGTCCTCCTTGCTGTTTCTCCGTAGAGCATCCTCGTCACGTGGACAAAGGGGTTCAAGTGCAGCAGCGTGGAGGGGAAAGACGTGGTGTCGATGCTGCGCAAGTCCATCAAGAAAAGAGGGGTAAGAGGTTGGGCAGGTCTGTCACCGCCTGGGTGGTGGGACGGGGGCACGCGACTCCCCGGGGCGGGACGCTTCGGCTCCTTGGCTCCCCGTGACAGCAGAGATGTTTCAGTCTGCTTTGGCCACGCTGACTCAACCGCTCTCCTCTCCACCGTCTCAGGACTTTGACATTGATATCGTGGCCGTGGTGAACGACACCGTGGGGACCATGATGACCTGCGGCTACGATGATCATAACTGTGAAATTGGCCTCATTGTTGGTGAGCGGCGGCAAGGGGGGAGAATTGGGGTCCACCTCTCCGTGAACTCCAGGAGGAGATCACGTTTCTTGCACATTTCAGGGTCTTTTGGGGAAAAAAGAAAGGGGATAGCGATGTTAGAAAACCAGCATTGCCCGATGTTTGTTTTCTCCCATCTTCACTGTCCGTGGTGCGTTTGGCTGCACGGGGAGTAAGGGAAAGGCAGTGTCCTCTCTCACCACGTCCCTGTGCTCGGTTCAGGCACCGGTACCAACGCCTGCTACATGGAGGAGATGAGGCACATTGACCTAGTGGAAGGGGACGAAGGTCGGATGTGCATCAACATGGAGTGGGGGGCCTTCGGTGATGACGGCGTGCTCAACGACATCCGGACGGAGTTCGACCGCGAGATAGACATGGGCTCGCTCAACCCTGGCAAACAATTGTAAGCAGATTCTTGGCTTCGGCTCAGGCTCGGGGTTTGCTCTGCATTGTCCGTCCTCCCATTGCGCTGGCGTTAGTGGGACTGAAGAGGTTGTCCTAGTTAACTGGGTCACCGCGTCCTCAGCCGTGCCAGCTACACCAATGCCGTGTAGGGGCTGTGTCACAAATTTGGGTTGGTACGCCCAGCTGAACCG